TAAAGAGAGGGAAAGAGGGGGCGGAGAGAGAGAGAAACATGGATTTGTCCTTCTTCTTCTTCGTGCATTCACTGGCTGCTTCTTGTGTGTGCCCTGACTGGGGATCAGAACCCTCAACCTTGGCATATAGGGACAATGCTCTAGCCAAGTGGAGCTACCAGGGCTTAAAGGTCTTTACCTATAGAAAATATTCTCTCCATCTGAGTGCTTATTATTATTATTATTCAGATTTCAGTTTAAATGTCACCTTATTCAAACAGGCTTTTTGTGACCAGTCAATTGAAAACCAACCACCCTGTCATACACTACCACATTACCTCACCCTATTTCAATCCTCTCAAAGCTCCCACCATTATCTGGTTTTAAAAATTTGTTTTCTGGCCCTGGCCGGTTTGGCTCAGCGGTTAGAGCATCGGGCTGCGGTCCGGAGAGACCCGGGTTCGGTTCCTGCTAAGGGCGCGTACTTCAGTTGCAGTTTGTCCCCGGTCCTGGTCGGTTGTGCGGGTGGCAGCCACTTGATGTGTCTCTTCACGTCGATATTTCTCTCTCTCTCTCTCCCTTTCTCTCTCTCCCTCCCACTCTATCTGTACAAAAAATGGAAAAATATCCTCGGGTGAGAATTAAAAAAAAAAAATTTGTTTTCTGACTGATTTATTTCACTATAATGTATGCATCATGACAGCAGGGCCTGACATTTAATAAGTACTCAACAAATATTAAATAAATGAACAAATATTAAATAAATGAATCAACATGCAAACATGAGAGATCACTGACTGGATAGTTCACCAAAATGTATTCAATTCATTCAAAAGACCTTTATTAAATGCCTACTGTGTGCCAGGTATAGAAAGAGAAGTCTGGTAGAAACCATATCACATTTCCCAGGTACTTTGTATATTTTGCTTTACCAATGTGACAAGACACCTTAGTTTCATCTTTGCAATATAGATCTTAATACATTTATTACTTGATGTTTTAATAATCTAGGGAAATCTGCAATAAGATACTATCATAACTGTATTAAAATACAATAAACCTCAAGAAGGAAAACGCACTAATAAAAAATGGCTAGCAAACAACACATACAGAACAAGTACTAAAGCAATATTTTATAGCATAATCAACAGTATACAGATAAATAACATAGCGAGATAATTCTTTGCAAATTATTATATAGCACTTTGACTATGATGTTTATAATAATTAAAACTACTGTATGCCCAACCATTGTGGCTCAGTGGTTGAGCGTTGAGCCATGCACCAAGAGGTCGCTGGTTCGATTCCCGGTCAGGGCACATGCCCAGATTGTGGGCCAAATCAAGCAATGTTCTTTTTCGATGTTTCTATCTCTCTCTCCCTCTCCCTTCCTCTCTAAAATGAAGAGAAAAAAAACTAAAAAACAAAAAGAAAAAAACTACTGTACATTTACAATTCTCTTGTCAAAAATTTCCAATGTATACACATGGCTTTGATGTCACTTATATAGCAATATAATTACATTTCAGCTTGTGCATTTAAAGTCTCATCTAGGCTGGTTTTGTTTTGTTTGTTTTGGTCCCATTATAGAAAGCTCACAACAGTGGCAGGGGTTAGCAGATTTAAGAATTAAATCTGTATACCATGTACTCTTTCTTGTCATTTTCAATGATACAATAAGATCTGCAATGCTTTATAGTAATATCAATTTAGTTTTTTTAATCTACCTGTTCTCCATTAATTGGATTTAAGTAATGGCAAAACAAAAAATTAACTGACTTTGAATCTGAGCTTAAAAATTTCCCTCTAAATATCCATCATACTACTAACCTTTAGAATTTTTAAGAACTTTGTATGAGGCCCAGTCAGTGTGGCTCTATGGTTGGGCATCGACCTATGTACCAGGAGGTCGCCGATTCAATTTCTGGTCAGGAGGCAGGGCCCAGGTTGCAGGCTTGATCCCCAGGAGGGGGTGTGCAGGAGGATCTTGATGTTTATCTCATCGATGTTTCTATCTCTCTTTCCCTCTCCCTTTCTCTCTCTAAAATCAATAAAAACACCACCACCACACCACCCCACCCCACCCCACCACCAACAACCCATCAAAAAAATAAATAAAATCAAACATATGTAAAAAAAATAATCTTGTATGAGTATCAATCTATTTGACATCTCAGAATGCTTTATTATATAGCTTAAATTTCTCCCTCCCCCTTTTTAAGGCAAATCATCTATTTGAAATATAGAACACACAATGAAGAATATTCTTTAAGCAATGGTTTCTCAATCCCACCTCCTCATTTTGTTTGAATATTTTATAGGAGATGCATTACTACTGTGATAATAAAAAGACTTTTGCAATGGTTCAAAATGGCTAGTGTTAAGAAAGTTTTGTTGGTTAGAAAAAAGGGGGAGGACTTTCAACATTCAAACATTAAAGCAAATACAAACACCTTGAAAACAAATCCTCTTGCCTTTCCCTTTATAGCCCCTAAGCTATGCCTAGGTCAATTAGGCTTCCAGAAGACCCAGACCAGCTCCTTCAAGTCCTTGTACTGCTCCAGTCCAGCCAGTCAAAGCTCACTAAACATTTACTTGTTCAACCAATGAACCACTCCCATGATTATTCTTCGCTCTCAGTTCTTTCACTCATTTTTGCTCCTGCTAATCCCCCACAAGAGGTTCACTACTGGCAACTTCAACTTACTTAAGTTCCTCAGTTCATTCTAAGCAAAAATCAAACAAGGACAAACCTTTGAGCAGCCAAAATAGGTCTCAAAGACCAAATTTGTTCATTTTATGTGGCTCTCCCTATAAGTCTCACTAAAATCCATATTTCATCTTTATTTTAGACCTATCTCTAACATCCTTGGTTACCTAGTTTTCACAACAGATTAGAAACAGGTTACTTAGTCTCTCTATACTAGCATAATCTTTATTATTTCTTTTCTTACTGGAATTCTACACTCAAATTCTGTATCAAAAATATTAATTAAAAACACTACAGTGACAAACTTAAAGTAGTTTTATCTTGAAAAACACTTATGAAATTTAAATTAATTAAAATGAAAACCTACAATTCATTTTAATGTAAATGTTCCATATATCACAGATTAAATGTTTTCATTTCTTGCCCCAGACTAACAGTGTTAGTTTTTACATTTCTGCAAATAGCAATAAAAGGTAAAGAAGACACTCTGTAACAACGAGCTTTCTGAAAATATATACTTCTGGAAGTATACTTATAACTAATACATTGCCTTGGAAATAAACGAGAAAATAGCAAATAGTTAAAAATCTATACAAATACAATAATGGCTCAAAGATAATGTATAAAGTGCCCAAAGAGCTATACAAATCTTATAAAATATAAATATTTTAGTGGAGCTGTAGAAAGTCACTGAATAACTTTAATACATTCACAGATATTTTTAAAAATCTTTTGTTGCAATAATTTTGGAATTAATTCTAAATATAAGCTCGTCAAGTTCCTGCAGCACCAACATTTAATACTACAAAGAACCAAAATCAAATACATTTTATCTCAAAACATTAAAAAGACAGCTGCATTTTAACTTTTCATCCTCCAACTTATTAGTACACACTAAGCAGTAAATAGTCAAGAATCTGATTCTATTAGTAAGACAAACATACACTACCATAATTTCAAAGGTAGCCACTGATTAATTATCAATTCCATTTAGTGATCACCAATTAAATATCATTTTATCTTCACATCTCTCTTTGCAAAGCAGGTACATAACAAATAAGTACAAAGTCACAATGAAACCCAGGTCTATTTCATTAATGCTAAGGCCCCTGGTCTCCACTAAGAATAGAATCAACCACTTTTGAAAATACAGAGGGGCAGAAAGTCGCTGATTTAAATTTAGCATTCTGGGTACAGAATGACAATTTCAAACATAAGCAGTAAATGTGTGCTCATGACATTTTTAGATTCATGATGTAAAGTTGTACTAATTTCAATATATTAGCTCTTTTTGCAGTCACAGACACTGAAGATGGCATGGTAATTTACCATGTGGACTTCTGAAGTGTTCAAAGGTTTAACTGCAGAAGAGTCAAAGTTTTTATTTTATGTTTTCTCTTCTGAAGTGCTATTATTGGGGGGTGGGTTCCAACTCCTACAATTCCAAGACTTTTAACACCAAGGACCCCCGTTAACCTGGACTTGAGTTTGAGCCTGGATTTGAAGGGCTCTGAAGCAAAAATCTTCACCACCAGAGGCCTCAAAGTGCAGTCTACCTAAGGGTGTAGTGTTGTAGGTTCGGGGGCGGGAGAAATGCCACCAAAGCATTCAATATATATAGGCAAATGAAAAGGTTACCAATTCTGCAGGGAAGAGGGCACAGAATTCCCTTTCCCCACCCCTCACCCTGCTGCAGACGGAACCTGACACCCTATTTTAAAAGGCTTGTTATCTCCGGTTACCACCTCCCTAAAGCTTAGCGCCTAACCAGGTCCACGCAGAGGTAGTGGCGACGCCTACTTCTCCCTCCCCCACCCTATGCACCCACACGAAAGTGCCCGGCTACACCGCCGAGGAAACCCTGGCCCCAGCCCCCCACCCAATCTCTGGCCCAGCTGGAGAGCTCCTGGGCCAAGGCCTCCAACACCCCGCCTGCATGTGCTCCACGCCCTTCGCCGCCAGGCCTTCGGCGTCCGGCCACTGCTCCCCCTTACTCCTGCCACAAAGCCCGTGGCCAACTCTGAAGGGTCTGGGCGGCCGCACGTCACCCGGGCCGGCGGGACCCCGAGCCCTGCCTGCGCCCAGAGCCCGCAGGCCTCATCCGAGCCGGGGCCCGAGGCCCACGCACGCCGCGTTCTCCCGGGTGCACAGGGGGCTCACCCCGCTCAAGCGCGCCGCGGGGCCCTGCTCAGAGCTGAGGCTGGGACCCCTCGCACTACCGCGCCGTCCCCCGCCCAGGTCTGGAGGACCCCTCGAGTTCCCCGCGGCCCGTGCGCGTCTGCCCCTGCCCCGCGCTCCCCGCCGCTCGCACCATCTCCTCGGGGTCGATGTGGATCTTAAAGGTCGGCTGCTGGAGGGTCTTCAGGGTGACCTGCATGGTGCGCGGCGCAGCTCCCCGCCGGGCCTGCTCTGGGTGCTGGCCGCTGGGCGGGCTCTGTGGCCTGGGGGGCCCCCCCGGGGTCGCCCGCGCTCCCTGCACTCGGGAGGAAGGCGGTGGGGGTGGGGGGTTTGTCACATTCGCCCTGCGGAGCGGCCTCTCCTCCAGCGGTGGCCTCGGGCCGTGCCGCTGCTTCCGCGACTGTGGCCTTTCCCGCGAGCTCGGGCTGCCCTGCTTCCTTAAGCGTCTGGCGCCAGTCACTGAGTTTGCAGGAGGCTCGAGAAGCTCTTTGAGACAAGCAGAGAATCCGCTAGTTCACCACAGGCTGGTGGCCGCCATCGTCGTGACTCACCGAGAGGCGCCCCCTCCCCCACCTGAAAGATCTGGGGGATGGGTCCGGGCTGGCGGAACGCGCAGGCGTAGGTTGCGGCGAGGCTGTGCGGCGAGGCTGTGCGCAGGCGCGGCTAAGAACTCCGCCCCGGAATTGGGGCGGAGCGATTGCGGCCTCGGAATGTCGGCGGCCTGGATCCGGTGTACGCAGGCGCAGTCCCTGTGTCTCGTGGGCTCATGGGGCTGCCTGGGAGCGTCTGCAATTCGGGCGTTCTCCCGCCTGCCGCCGCTCCGCCTACGTCCAGACTCCGCCCGCTGCTCGAATTGCGCAATCCGTAGCCGTAGCTGGGGAACGCTACGTGGAGACCCGACTAAGTGGATCCCGAGCTCTGGAGCTGGGAAGCTAGAGGGCGGTAGGTCGGGACCGGGCTTAAGTGAAAGGATCGTGGTCACCTCACAAATGAGCCAGCGCTCGCAGGACGCCCGTTGTGTGTGTAGCTGAGCCTTATGGTGGCGGCTGGTTTAATCTTGAGAGCACAGACTTTAACGCCGGGACTGCCTGTGTGGACCTTGAGCCTAATCAGAAGGGCCGATAACAGGAGGTCAAGTTATATCACTCCTTTGGGAAGAACTATGTTGGTTTCTCCTCTCACCCGGAGCAAAAATCAAAGTTGTTAAAACTCCGCCCTCAGCCGGTGCCTCTGACCGCGTCTCTCCCGCTTGCTCCGGGTGGTGGTGGTGATGGATACTAAGCACGTGCTCCCGCCTGCCCTTGCACTCGCTGTTCCCGCCCCAGTCCTCTTTCCCCAGACACCTGGGTGTCTCGCTGTCTCGCCTGCTACGAATCTTTGCTCATATGTCACCTTCTTAGTGAGGTCTAGCCTAGATACCCAACTTAAAACCGCAACTTCCCTAGCCGCGTGATTCTGGTCAGTTTTTTTTTTTTTTTTTTCCTATAGCATTTATCATCTTGTAATTACCTTATAATGTATATCTTTATTATGTTTTTCATCTCCTTTCTCTCGACCCCAGACTGAAACTGCACAGAGGCAAGGATCTTGTTTTGTAAACCGATGTGCCCCCAGCACGAAGAAACATGCAGACAAGCAAATATTTGTGGAAGGGGTGAATGGGCCAGTAAGATACTAATAGCATTCAACTCTATTGATTATTGGGGGCGGGGTGGGAGGTGTTGAATAATGTATGTAAATCTTAGTACAAGGAACATAATAAGCAGTCCATAAGTAGTTAGCTATTAATAGTATGCCCATTTACAGATAAGAAAACTGGAGTATAGAGATGTTGAGTAATGTGCTTGGAGACACCGTCTACTAAGTGGTTGATCCAGAATTTGAACCCAAACAGAATGGTTCCAGAGCCCTTGCTCCTAGGTGCCTGGCTATTCTCTCTTAATAGGGCACATTAAGGTACTTACTGTGGCACCTTTGACTTTAAGTGGTTCAAGTAAAAAGCAAAGTTACAATTAGACCACTAGCTATGAGACCAACTGCAAAGTATTTCTGTGGGACAGCATCCTCACTGGTAACAACGTTATGGCCTGGTGTTCCATGGATACTAGGAGTTCAAATATAATTCTGTGGAATTTCCCTTGACCAACCTCCCTCTTCACTAATCTGGTATTTCCCCTTCACAGCAAGTATCTACCTATGTTGTAATTCAATATCTAGTCCTCTGCCCAGGTGATCTCGTCTTTTGTTTTGAAATGCCTCCAGCTTGGACCTCTCCACTTAGCTACAGATAGGATGAGCCAATTGCCTATGCAGTGTCTTCACTTAAAACATGACAAGCCTCTCAAACAACATAGCCAGACAGAACCATTGATTTCTGTCCTTCTGAACCCCCCTTCCCCCTGAAACTTGCTCCTTTCCCAATTTCCCCATCATAGTTTATGGCACCACCATCTTACCCAGGTGGTCAGACCAAAAATCTAATCATCCCTGATAGGTCTCCTTCCTCCCCCTAAACAACCACATCTAATTTGTTATCAAGACCTGTCAACTTTATTCTCCAAACCATATTCCAATATTCAGTCATTTCTCACCATTTCTACTTCTATCACCGTAGGCTAATCATTATCCTTCACCAGCCTCTCAACTGGTCTCTCCACTTCCACTCTTTTCCCCTAACAGCCTCCCCAGCAGTCAGAGTGGTCTTTTTCAACAATAAATCAAATCACATCACATCTATTATTAATACCTAATTATACTTTAGAATAAAATTCAAGCTCTTTACCTTGGACAGCTCACATGATCCAACTCCTGCCATATTCTCTGGCCTTGTCTCTTTTTTTTTCTCATTTACTGTCATTCTTCTGTACCATATTTCTTTCATCTCTCAAACAAGCTAAACTGTACCTAGCCTCAGGGCCTTTGCACTTAAGGTTACTTGAGTTTGAAACTCTGTCTTCCTGTATCTTTAAGTAGCTAACTCCTTTTCATCATTCAAATTCCAAGTTAAATTTTACTTCCTTAGAGAAGACCTCAACCACTTTCATAATACATAATAAACATATATTGCCTTTTACCCTAGGCATGGCTCTTTACATGGATAATCTCATTGGAGCCCCACAAATTCCATGAGATAGTTGCAACATTTCCCTGATTTAAATTTTTTTCATGGATCTACCTAGAATTATTATTTTTTAACTTGTTTTATTTTCTATCTCACATGACTACTCTACTTCCACTTCCCATGTCTGCTTCTTGGGGAGAGGAACTCACTGCCTTAACACAGCTCTTGCCTCAGCATATAGAACAGTGCCTGGAACACAGCAGGTGCTAATTACATGTGTAGATTGACTCTCAACTCAGCTGTAAGCTCTGTGAGACCAGATGTGTGATGATCATGTTCATAATGATATCTTCAGAGTCTAGTACAATGTGGATATTCAAATACATTGATTGAAAAAATGGTGAAGTCACTTTAGTTAAAATTGACAAACCACAGAACTTATATGCATATGTGCATGAACAGTGGACATGGACAACAAAGCTGGGGACAGGGCGGGGAGGGAGGAGGAGAGGAGAATCAGTGGGGGGAAAAGGAGAAACATCTGTAACAAAAATAAATAAAAAAAATTGACAACAGTTGTAAGTAAACACAAAAAGACATTTAAAAAAACTGGAATATACTGTATAGAGGTATTACAATTTTAAAACTTTTCAAAAACAAAAAAATGTATCCTGCTACAACTACTATTGTCTGCAGAAAAACAAAAAACAAGCGATGCCTCTCCACTTATTAGTGTGTATTTTTTTTTTAAAAAAGTAATCTTTTACTCATGGCAAAATATATACATTCAATAGTATAGAAAGGGAGTGATTGAAAGTAAAAATCCTCCTCCCCTCTTCCGAGAAATAAGCATTGATATGAGTGTCTAGAAATTTTCTAGATTATACAAGAATAAATTCCCCCAAATAGTTGTGACAACAGTACATTTTATTTTTTTTCTTTGTGACAACAGTAAATTTTAAATGTCAGTTAACTGAAAGATTCATCCAATAACATTTCCTAAAGTACAGTGTTAAGATAAAAAGTTGTTTTACATTCAGATCTTGATCTCCACACAAACATCCCACAGCTGAAGAGTAAGTTGGGATCACAGTATTGGTCTAGTGTTGTCTCATTGGACATAATTTACCACTGGCCAGCCTCCAAATTCCCATACAGGAAAAAAAAGGTTAAAAGTTATTTTTATTTTCTTTTAATTTCTGGGAAAACTATGCTAGACATACCCACTCTTGGCCCCATAGCACAGTTTGGTTAGGCTATATGCCTCCTTGTACCCTGTAATCACCTTTGCCCAGAGCCCCACAGTTGACATGACAGATGATAGGACCCCACTCCCACCTGCCCCCACTCCCAATGCAAAGGCCACCACGGTGAAGGCACTTGTGAGCAAGGTCTTGTAGGATAGGCCTTGGGCTCTTTCAAGAGCTACTGGACCAAGATAAAAAGATCAGAAGGAGTCATTTAATCCAAATATTTGGTAACAAGCCAGGGAATTTTGCTTGTATTTTTGGAAATCAGTCAAATGATTTCAGGAAGAGGATGAGCCAGCAGAGATGCATCATCTGCTGACTTAGAAAATACCAGGGTAAAAATACCAGACATCAAACCATTCATTCAGCAAATAGTTATTGAGACTCCTTGCCAAAAACTGTTCTGGGTGCTAGGGATGTAATAGGGAACAAAACAAAGTCCCTGCCCTAAAGGAGTTTATATTCTAACAGCGATTTTCAACCAGGGTGCCACAAGAATTTTTAAAACATGCAATGCCTGACTCTTTAGTCAGGGGCACTGACCTCTTTTCCCTTAGACTGTCAAATGAAAAAAATGACAGCAGCCAACATAGCAAGAGCTGTCCCATGTGAATGAATCAAAATTATACCTATTCTTTTTTTGTCAGATATAGCAAAAATATATTTTTTAGTGTGCTACAGAATTTTAGTAATTAGTTTATGTATGCCATGAGATGAAAAAGGTTGAAAAGTTGCTGTTCTAGCAGGATAATAGATAAACAGATAATAAACTAAAATGAAAGACACTTATACCAGGTGATGGTAAGTGCTATTTTTTTTACCTTAGTCCTCACCCAAGGATATTTTTCCATTAATTTTTTTTTTTCCTCACCTGAGGACATTTTTGCATTTATCTTCAGATGGAGCGAGAGGGAGAGAGAAACATCGATGTGAGAGAGACACATCGAGTGGCTGCCACCCACACGACCCCAACCGGAGCCAGGGACAAACTGCAATCGAGGTACGTGCCCTTAGCGGGAACTGAAGCCGGGTCTCTCTGGACCACAGGCCGATGCTCTAACCACTGAGAAAACTGGCCAGGGCTCCATTAATTTTTTTTTTTTTTTTTAAATCCTCACCCGAGGATACTTTTCCATTTTTTGTACAGATAGAGTGGGAGGGAGAGAGAGGAAGGGAGAGAGAGAAACATCGACGTGAAGGCACACATCGAGTGGCTGCCACCCGCACGACCAGCCAGGGCCGGGGACAAACTGCAACCAAAGTACGTGCCCTTAGCGGGAACCGAACCCGGGTCTCTCCGGACCGCAGGCCGACGCTCTAACCGCTGAGCCAAACTGGCCAGGGCTCCATTAATTTTTTAAAAAAATATTTTTTATTGATTTTTTTTTAGAGGGAGAGAAAGATAGAAACATCAGTGAGAGAGAACATCAATTGGCCGCCTCTTGCATGACCCCCACTGAGGATCGGGCCCACAACCTAGGCATGTGCCCTGACAAGGAATCGAACCAGCGACCTCTTGGTGCATGGCTTGACACTCAACCACTGAGCCACACTGGCCGGATTAATTTTTTTTTTTTAAGAGAGAGTGGAAAGAAGGGAGAGAGTGGGAGGGGGGCCGGGGAGAGGGAGAGAGAGACAGAGACAGACGCATTGATTGGTTACCTCCCACACATGCCCAACCAGGCAGGACCAGAGATCAAACTTTCAACCCAGGTACATGCCCTTGACCAGGAATCGAACCCAAGACCCTTTGGTCCACAGGCTGATGCTCTAACCACTGAGCACACAGGCCAGAGTGTAAGTGCTATGTTTTAAAAAGGTCATGAAAAGGACCAATAGTGCTCAGAAAAATAGAATTGCTACAGAAAATGTGCCAGATATCTTTCATTCCTGTTCTATCATTTTGTCTTCCCTCTTCTTCACCCAACAATTGGCCCCCAAAAAGGCTGACCTATATGGGTTACTACATTTCGCTTCCTGAAGAGTCCTAGGTGGAGATAGGAGGGAGAGAGGAGAGTGAAGTTAGGGAATTTATTTCTCTTTGTGGTTGACAGTGCTCTTGATACAAGGTCATTGCTTCTATAGCATGGCCCTCCAAGTAACTTTATTTTACAGGTGCTTCTCTCCTTCCAAGTTCTGATAACTGCTCCCTATTTTGCCCTTTCAGGCCTAGAGAGCTCTTATTTTTCATCCACGGCACTGCTCTCTCCCTGTGGTTTCCCTATACTGTACTGGCCCTGACATCATTGTAAAGAGTCCCTTTATTGAATCTTCCTGGAATACACCCATATTAGTTTCCCAGAGCTGCCATAACAAAGTACCACAAACTGGTTGACTTAAAATAATAAAAATTTATCATCTCACAGTTCTAGAAGCTAGAAGTCCAAAAGTAAGGCTTGGCAGGGCTATGCTCCCCCTGAAACCTGTCAAGGAGAATCCTCCCTTGCCGCTTTCTAGCTTCTGTTGATTTGCTGGCAATCTGGCCTTTCTTGGCTTGAGCTGCAGCACCCCAATCTGCCTTCATCATCAAACAATGTTCTCCCTTTGTATGTCTGTCCCTCTGTGTCTCTTCCTATGAGGATACCCGTGGAATAGAGAACCTCTGTTGTTTCTCACATTGTCCTCACTACTCAGTTATTACTCTTAATACTTCACTTCCAGTCACCAAATATGTGGGGTTTTCCCTCCACATTCAGAAATTCTTCCATTATCTGCAGACACCAGCTGGATGTCCTACAATTCAACTAAACTCTGACACTGTCTACCTTTGAGATTGCATCAGATCCCTCAAGCTAAGGGCTCAGTCAGTCCAGCTGCCAGTTACAAGTCCCAGCTTGTCACCTGTACTTCAGCTGACTGGCTATAAACGAGTTTCCACAATCCCCTTCTTGGGTTTGATCATTTGTTAGTATAGTTCATAGAACTTGGGGACACACATTTACCAGTTTATTATATAATGAAGGATATGACAAAAGATACAGCCGAACAGCCAGATAAAGAGATACATAGGGCAAAGTTTGGAAGTGTCCTGAGTACAGGAACTTCTGTCCCCATGGAATTTGTGTGCCCCACCCTCCCAGCACATGGATGTGTTTACCAATCCATAAACTCTCCGAACTCCATAGTTTTGAGATTTTAATGGATGTTTCATTATGTAGGCATGATCAATTACTAACTCACTTTCCAGCTTCTCTTCCCTGTCTGGAGTACGGGGGATGGGGAGATAGGGAGGAGGACAGAAAGTTCCAGCTTGCTAATCATGGTTTAGTCTTTCCATCCAAGAGTCCACCAAGAGTTGCCTCAGAACAAAAGATACTGTTATTACCCAGGAAATTCCAAGGGACTTAGGAGTTCTGTGTGAAAAACCAGGGTAAGAGACCAAATATTAGCAAGAACCAGGAGCACAGAGCAATGTATACTTCTCATTATATATATAATACCAATATCTTATTTCACACCAGCGTACTGGGTTAAAGACTCACCCTACTCCATTATAACTTGAACTAATTACATCTGCAATGGTCCTTCCAAATAAGGTCACATTCTGAGGTACTGAGGGTTCACATATCTTTTGGAGGGGGACACAGTTCAACCCAAAATAATACCTAATTTGAATGTGGCATGTTTTTCTGCTGAGAATCTGCTATATGTGTTAATCAAGGAAAATCTCCCTGATAAGGTGACAGGGTAGAGAAAAGTTAGGAAGCCAGCCATACCAGGGAGGAAAAGAAGGAACAATAGTAACAGCCATAAATGTTTATAGTCATATAGCATTTATTATTTGCAGGTGCAAGGCCATGAGGTAGAAGCATCCTTGGCATGTTGGAGGAATACCCAGGAGATCAGATGAAGGAAGTGAGGAACAATGGGGAGAGGGTAGCTGATGATGTTAGAGATGCAAAGAAGTGGGGCAGTGAGCAGAAAGCCGTTGGAAAGACTGGCTTTTATTCAGAGTAACGTGGAAAGTCATCGGAGGGTTTAAAGCAGAGGAGTGACAGGATCTGTCTTAAGTTTTGAAAGGATACCCTGACTGCTGTGTGGAGAACGTCCGGGGTGAAGGGCAAAGATGGATGCCAAGACACCAGTTAGCAGGTTATTGCCATAATCCAGAAGAGAGTGGTGACTTGTATCAGAGTGGAAGCCGTACAACTGGTAAGCGGTTGGATTCTGGATTTATTGTACAGCTTACAGGCTTTGTTGATAGGAGCTGATGTGAGCTACAAGAGGAGGCTCCCCACACGTTTATGTTGGAATTCTCTGGTCCTCCTCATTCAAGAGTGGCTTCCCTGACTGATGGTGTTCTGCAGAATACCAGTCTAATCCAGCAAATATTCTCTGAGCACCTACTCTGTGCAAGGCAGTGTGCTGGAAATACAGTGATGAACAAAGTCTATTCAGAAAAATGATAGTATTTGACATAAGCCTTTCTATCTCCATTATTTATAAAATCTATTGGTTTATGACAAAAGTTTATGGTAATAGGGCTTCTTTCCAAGTTCTAGACGTTTGTAGAGTGACGCAACTCATTAGTGAACATACCACAATTCAATTAAATATATTTTTAAAAGCAAATTCAGCCCTTAATAGTAGGGCTTTAAAAATGTTTTCTATCTTCTCGCTTAGATTTCTGACGTTGTCAAACTCCACTTTTCTTCCGTCACCCCAATTTTCTCAGCACTGTGAATCTCATTCATTGTTCAGTCCCTATGTCAATTTAGTTCTCTTGGAAGAAGCAGACACTGAAGTAGAGTTAAGAGTACAGGAGGTTTTTTGGTGGATGTCAACTGTGAAAATGAAGGGGAGGAAGCAGGGTTTGTCAAAGAAAGCCTTCAGACCACAATGCTGATATGTTTGCTAGGAAAGGAAAGAGGGAAGGAAGCAGAATTGGGTAGAGAAAGACTCAGACTCTG